TTTTAAAATATTTTTGCTGTTAGCCTTAAAAAGTAGATTCTTATTTTTTATTCACTGTACCATCAGCAGATAGAATTAAGAGTCAAAACTTTTCTACTGCATTTTTTTGTGGGCAGGTTTCTTTTGCTCTCATTTTCCCATTTGCTGTAAAGGAAAAGATTCTGCTTGATCCTCAAAACTATAGTATTGTACGCATCTTATGTTGCATAAATTTCTGTTGCTTATTATTGGTTTTTTTATTCATTTGCAATAATCTTTCATGATATCTTGCAATGTATGTGTACCTGCTGAGTTATTGTATGATATCTGGCAGCAAAATTGACACAATATTAATCAGTAATTTTAAACAGCCATGACATACTAAATATTCTCATACGTTACCCACAGAAGTTTCTATATACCAAAACTTTATATTGAACCAACTATTTATATATATTTGACCTATGTTTGCTTAATAAATGGATTGATTGACATCCACTTTTTAGGAACTTCCTTCTTTGTCTCCTCAGGGTGTATATCACGTTTTATCGTAACCATTCAATATTTCTAGATGCAAGAGTAATTTAATATATATACAGTACAAAGTCCGAAATCTGGACGCCCATTTTCCGGAATGATCTAAAATCCAAACCTCAAAACCAAAAACAACGTTTTTCTCCTAGGCTTTACGCATGCACATTTGATTCCGACCCCCCCTCCACGCATAATAAAACATCTGGAGAGTCCCGATTCTTAATTTCACTTCGACACTAAATAAAATACCTTGTTATTAAAGGAAACAAACATTTTAGCATAAATTTGTACGATCAGTAATATGGCTCTGTTGCTACGTATGTATGTACCTTCTTATTGAAGAAACAGGAAACAAGATTTTAGCATGAATTTGTACAATAATTAATCATACGTTGTTGTGTATCTGCTTGGCACACATCTCAAACCGAAACATTCCACATAGATACATTGTTAATCTGACGCCAAACTGGCGAATCATTATTTATTATACTTTCCTTTTATCACCACATGTTTATCAAAACATGACAACTTGAGTAATGACTCATGTAGCAATGCCTAAACAATTTTTTTTATGTTAGTAATTGAATGATAAAGGAGTATGTTAACCTTATATGTTGACATTACGCTTGTCGATGATTACGGATTTAAATTAGCGCTAAAAAATGTTGGCTAGGGAAAAATTTACCAAAAATGTCTTTACATATGCTAAAAATAGATTTCATTGATGATATTTATTTACCTAAAGATTACATTTAGAGCTATTTGAATTAAGAATAACTGATTTGTTATTCACATAAACCCAGAACCAGAGCCAGGTCTCGTATGGCCGCAGGGAGTCACAGAATTTAGGAGCCACAGAGATTGCATCAGGCAGTAAGATATCTAGCACCAGCCAATAATAAGACTTAAGTACATGAGGAAATTTATTTATTCAGAACTCTGATAAACCTTAAACATGTGCAAGAAATAGACATAAGTATAATAAATAACAAATACAAAATATATATATATGTAATGAAACTGTGGTTCGTTGACACGACATGAATGATTTGATTGAGAATGCGGCACAAACGTGCATTAAAATTTTTGGTGAAACAGGACTTTTCCCATGATTCACTGTGAACACAGAATAATAAACCCGTGTAGATTTCTTCATAATTAGAACTGGCCAAAAAATGTAATGGCAGAACAATTTTGGAGGCATTGAAATACGAACGCTGAGATGCAGATGCGTAGAAATACTAATTGCGTAGATACTTGATGTGTAGAGCGTCCATCCATTTTGAAGATGAAGCAGTCGATCTGGATTAAATTCTTTTTTTATTTAAGTTCTCATTTTGCGGCCACAATTCACATGGCACTCTACTCGTGCCTATTAAAGACATTTACAATTTTGATATTATTGCCATAGAAGCGAATATAGGAGCTCATACATTGATTGCAGTAGAGCATCTGGCAAAGAGGAAAGCACCAGCAAAAGTGACGTATCAGTTCATAGAAAAAAGGTTGGGAGGTCAAAAGTTTCAGTTTTTAGTTTTAGTTTGCAATTTGGTGATTGGTCAAGAGGCATCTGCATTAGGGGTTACATAAGATAGCATGATTAATTTGAATGATGCAGTTTAGATTTACAGCACTATTTTTAGGACACATAGGTGAAGTTTTAAATGAAATAAAAGAGGTTATAGTGAATTAAATAATTTAGAAGTTTGCTTTCATATTTTTTATCTTACATATATATATATGTAACATAAACATAATATACACTGGTGTGCAAAAATTAAGGACGAGACGGTTTTTTTCAATATAACTTTGTACAAAAGCTTTCCAAATCAACACATTTAATACCGTAAGATCCCCAATACGTAAGGACATGAGTAATGTAAGCAACACTTACTAAAAGAGAAATCAGAGGGATAAAAAGAAGCTTTATTGAAAAAGTAGCATGGAGCGCAATGCGACTGAAGGCCGAAACATCCCTGTGATGGGTGTCCAGCAAGAAACATCCGGTCTTTAATAGGGGATATGATCTCCCCTGACTGCTAGGCAGGTTTCACAGCGTCTGCCCATGCTGAGAATGAGGGTGTCAATGAGTTGTTGAGGCATTGCTGCCCATTCGTCTTGCAGCGCCAATCGAAGCTCCGGAATCGTTACTGGTGGTAAGGTACGAGCTGCCAAGCGTCTGCCTAGAAAATCCCATACATGCTCGATGGGATTGAGATCCGGAGATCGTGCCGGCCAATCCATACGTTCAATATCCTCACTCTCTAAGAGCTGTTCGGCAGCTACTGTGCGATGACATGGTGCATTGTCGTCCATGAAAAGGAACTGCGGACCCATAGCGCCTCTAAAAAGACGCACATATGGAAGAAGAATCTCGTTACAATAACGGGTCCCGTTGACTGAACCTGCGTCGAAGATGTGAAGGTCTGTACGACTACCAAGCATGATGCCTCCCCAAACGAGAACACCGCCACCTCCATACCTGTCCCTTTCAATGATGTTCGAGGGATGATTGCGGCTTCCCCGCTCCTCTCCAGATGAGTATGCGATGAGAATCGCTACTCAGACTGAATCTGCTCTCATCTGTAAAGAGTACTCGTCCCCATTCATTGTCTCTCCAATTCCGGTGTTCCCGGCACCACAGAGAACGCCTTCTCCGATGGGCAGGCGTTAGAGGTACACACCGTACAGGGCGTCGTGCAAACAGACCACCACCGTGCAGTCTTCTGGCCACGGTAAAACGCGATATCGGTCGTCCAGTCGCCTGTGTCGTGTGTCTAGCGATTTCTCCCGCTGTCTGCCGCCTGTTTCTTCTGGCCTGTAAGGCAATATACCGGTCATCTGCGGGTGTGGTTCCTCGTGGACGACCACTACTAAACCCCCGGATAGCTGTTCCTGTAGTTTGAAATTGTCTCCAAAGTCGTGAAACGATGCTGTGAGCAATTCCGAACTCTGCAGCCACACTTGTCACACTGCGGCCTTCCTCCAACTTTCCCAATGATTCGACCTCGGGTAAAAGCATCCAGATGTCGTCTAACAGATTGATTATTCGCCATTTCTCGCTGAGGCAGCAACTCGGTGTGATTTTAACTGCTATACGGCGTGCAATCTCTTTGCCAGAAATACTGATCTTGCCCTGACAACATACTACTCAGACACTCCCCCATTACGTCTACCTGCATATCTGCGCATGTGCTACCGTACATCACCTTACTTAATCTCCTGATTGGTCTTTCTGTCCGCTCTGCCTTTTCATTCAGCTGATATGCTAATTTTTCGACTTCATCCTTAATTTTTGCACACCAGTGTATATATGTGTGTGTAAGATAAAAAAATATGTGAATCAAAATTACAATTTAAACTAACGAAAAAACTTCTCCCTCTCTCTTTTAAAATTTGTAATAACTTCTCTCGATTGCATCATTTCTAGATCACTCTACGGCCTGTGCAGCGCTGATGATGTAATAATTGTAAACTGAAACTTTTTAACTTGAACCAAAACCTCTCTATTTGTGTGCTTCCATCTTGTATAGCTATGCACTTCAGCTTCTGTGTCTGTGCTATGCTTGGACACATTTTTGCTATTGCAATAGTTTTTCCCTTAATTTAAATTATAATTTGATTCCCATATTTTTTTTATCTTGCATATATATATGTATAGGAGTTTCTTAATTGACAGAGTATATATATATTATGTTATTTTTATATTTATTAAATAAGAGTCATTACATTATTTTACATAACTTTTTTGAGTCAACTGCCTTATAGCAGACCATTTTTGGCATAAGTTGTATGCTGTACTTAGTATCTATCAGTATCAGGCCAGAAAATCCTAGCATTACATTCCATATTGAAAAACTGCTCAGGTGAGAAATCTGTGAATTAGAAGGCTAGAATTAGAAACTTTCAAATGGGAATTTGTCACATCTAGAGTAAAAAAGTTAACTGGGTACTTAAATTATTTCTATTAAATTAGCATACTTTTAAGTCTCTCCTATTGTGATGTGACCTAAATATGTGACACATTTAGACACATGAATGAAAAAAACTGAAGATCACAGAAAAATCATATTATGCCTTTATATTTACTTTCATGGGTTTCTAATTCAGGATTATCTCAGGACCATAGATTCTTATTCAAAAGTTGCTATATTTCAGCCTCTTTATATATTTCTTTAATTTGTCAGAAACTATTAATTTCTGGAGCCTGTAATGTAGTTTTATAATAGCAGTTAGGTAAAAATGGGTAATATATATAAAGAATTCTTTGAATATGAGTTGCATTCTGAATTATTGAATGACTTATTAAGCACATTAGTGGATTTACTGTATTGTTGTTATTGTATAAAATGAAATAATCACTGGGCAAATTTAAATTCTATTTATTTGAATTGGTAACTGCTCTTCTGGCTCTGTTATTGCATTATTTTATTGAGTATTATGTTAATTTATTTACCATTTTTCTTTTCTTTTCTTATAATCCACAGAGCAGACAACAAAAAAAGCAAATCATCTGTATATGATAAAAGTCAATTAGTTCAGTATGTGCATAGGCTAGAAGAGCTTCAGAAGCAGTTAGGTTTGGACACTTTTAGCTGATGCATTTCCCTGCATTTTGTATGTTATAATAATGTGTGCCTAACATGTGTTTTGTTTTTATAAACTCTTATACCAAAGAGATCAAGTTTAAAATCCTTTCTGTTTAAATATTTGAAATTGAAAAATATTTATTGAAATTATTTTAATATAAGGCTTCTGTATAAAATGTAAAGTTTTAAATGTGTGTTTGTCTTAAAAAGTCCTGAAGAACTGGATGATATGTTATTTTGTATTTGTGCCTTGAAGATTTTTAATATATGGTATGTATTACTGACCAGTTTAATGGCCAAATCTATCATTTTCATGCTGATGTAATATAAGAGTATAATTGAAAGTTTTTAATGTTAAAAAATGAGCTCAATGTGCTGGTTTGTGTGTAAAAGATAATGTTAGCAAGGGCTATTACAATTATTGATTTTTGTAGTTAATTATTAATGACACAAATGCGGTATCTTATAAGTAGCATTTGCATTTTTTGTGCCTTCCTTTGTTATCCTCTTAAAATAGTTATATAAAATGTATATTCTAGGTAAATAAATATGGAACTAATTTTTTAAAAGTCATTAAATATGTTAAAATCAACTTTTTAATCAGCATTGATATTAACTAATATAATTTGCACTTTGTGTTCAATGTATAAATATGATTTTGGTAGTGATATATTTAAACTTTTCATATGTAAGGACCTGAAGTATTATCTCCAGTTTCAAAATTTATGTTTTTTATTTATATTTTCATACAATAAATTGTCAAATCTTTATTAATGATTCAATTAAATATTTATGATAAATAATGTGTCTTTGAAATAAATTTTTAAAATTCTGTAAAGTAATCATTAAAAATTATGCATGATAGCGATATTTTTATATAAAATTTACTGGGTAAGGTATATACTTACATTTCAGTTCTGTGATTTCATGGACTGTAAATATTATAAAAATAAAAATTAATACTTTTGAATGCATTTTTATAGTAATAAATTGGGAAACAAGGTAGACCTAAAATGTAAAGATTATAATAAAAATTAATTTGGTCTTAAGTGCATTAGTGCCTCCTGCCAGCAGCTTTGAAACAAATAAGGAACTGAAAAGTAAATGTTAATTTCTTATGATGATTGACTAATCTCTTTTAGGATAAGTTTATGGTGTTTTGTATAGTTAAGTGACATAATTAAACTTCTTTTCTTTACCTATTTACATCACTATTAGTGAAATTGCAAATATTGTGCCTTATAGTAATGTAAAGTAAATAATTTGTCATTTATATTATAGATTAAATATGTTAAATAAATTCATATTCAATAATTTTTCTTTTACCCTTTTGAGGCAGTGTAAAATAATTAAAATCACAAAGTTTAACAGTTAATTCCTGAACTTTTTCATGAAGTTTTTAAATTTGTTTTATTAGTTGAATAGAATGATGGAGTTTATTAGAATTATTTGAATGATAATTTTATTAGTTGAATAGAATGATTATGGGAAAGATTATATTAATCTATTGTATCATTGTTATCCATACTGTCTTTAATTCAAAGGCATTTCTTGGTAATTCCAACACTTTGGAATTAACTATTTCCAGAAATATGTGGTTCTTATTTATTTTGTGAATGTTATGTGAAATTTATTTGCCAACTTATTTAATAACTTCATGGTTTCCTAAATTTTATGAGCACATGTTTGTTGTACTAAAATTTGTTCAGTGTTCCCATTGTCAGTTTATTCTAGTCACATTATTAGCATAATTTAAAAATTTTTTAATTTATATTATCATGTAAAAAATTATAATTATCAAATAAAAAATTAAATATTATGTATCAGTTAAATATATTTTAACTTTTCATCACAAGTTGTACATTTTTTAAAGAATTAAATTCAATCTAATAAATGTATTAACTATTTTTCATTTAATGAAAATAAATTTCATGAAATGCTGTCCTCTTTTAAAAACTAAGATTAACAAAGTATGTTCCTTCAGAAAAATGTAAAAATAGTGAAATAAAGGTAAAAATAATGTAAAAACAGGTAACAAATGGGGGAAAAAAAAAGACTTTTGGAGGGATGTGGATTAAATATTGCCAGAGCATGTGAGGGCAATCTGCTTAAGTAGAACACCTTTATAGAGGACTTTCTAATGGAAATTGGCTTGTATTAACATTACATATGAGATAAATTATGGACTACTCTTATGTCAGGATTCAAGCCCAGATTGAATTACTGTCTTTTCAGTAATCTTATTTATTTGGCTACTGGGAAGGGTTCTTATACACTTCAGTACAAATATCCAATCTCAGTGTCCAAGTTGCCTTGTGAACAGCACACCCAATCATATAACAGATTTATAGCATTTTTGTGAATTGATCAGTTTTAAACTTAACATTAAAGTAAAAAACACCTGAGCTAATTATTAAATTAATGTATCTGCTCAACAGAAAAACCATAGATTCAAATCTTAAGTCTGTACAATTTAAGCAGTTTAATAAATTTAAAATTTCCATCTCAGAATAGTGTTTTTAACACAATAATTGATGCCCTGAAATTATGAAATATGTTCATGAATTTATTTAATTAATTAAAGTAAGAGGAAAATGTGTTAAAGTGCAATAGTTTGTGAAACATATTGCCTGATTACCTATATGAATGCCACCCCAAATGGTGGGATAAAATTACGGTTAACTGTACCTGCATTTTACTTTTCAAATTGTAATTCAGGTATTTTATCAGTATTCATAGGTGAAAAATCTATGTATGATACTTTTTCACATGCATTTGAAGGTTTAAAATTTTTTGATGATTAGTTTAAATACTTTCAAAAATTGTGTCCTTTATTTCTAAAAACCTGCAAATATATTATTAAGTAATTTTAAGTTTTAATTTTATTTTTGTCAATTTATGTAAATAAAATTTTTTAATAAGCTGTGTTTTTGATGTTGCATTATTATTAAGTTTTACCAAAAAAAAGGTTATTTTTTAAAAAAATGTATTGGTAATTATACTTTAATTTAATAAGGTTCTTTTTATCTTGAAAGGAATGTTAAAGCTCTGAAATAAAAGGTTCAGTTGACAATTATTTCAAGTAAAATAGAAAAATCTTACCTGGTTCTTGATCTGATGAGTTTCTCAGACAATAATTGAAGATATTTTGGATATTAATCATTTATTGGCACAGTATAATAAGGGACTTTTTTACACTCTGGGCGATACACAGCACATCTTAGCTACACTAAAACATTAATTTAATTAAAAGTTTATTGTATCAGCACCATCTAGAGTTCACAACATTCTCTGTGGACGACAATTCTTCAGGAGATGAAAAAGCTTCTTAAATGTTGATGGAAAAATCCATTTGGCCACTTATTTTCACATTAGAGTAATCTAACTCAGTTCATGTCTCACTTGACTAAAATGGTGCAGTAAAATATCATTAAATTGATGAATCTTAAAAAAAAAAAATCAGTTAATTTAAATCAATTATTTTTTTTTATTAGTTAATTTTTCTGTCCTCATTATTTAGAGTTTAGATACAGTGAGTACACTCTAAGAATGCTTATTAAACTGGATGACACTTTGTTAAATGTAACTTTTTTAGCAAGCTTTCCTTCCTTAAATTTTACAAAATTAGGTCTTTTGATTCTTCCTTTTTTCTGATTGCTTGTTCAACATGAGGACTTTTCCTGCAGTTTTTTCAAAAAGTGTAAATTAGAGAAGATTTTGATATCTGTCAAACTAATTTTACGAGAATACATATCTAGGAAAAGTAGCTTGTTGCTATTAACATTCATAGGTGTGATGCAAGCTTAAGATGGCCACCCTCAGTTTCAATTGATTTTAATATTTGGTAGAGATGATCACATTACAATAAGAACAATTCTCAGAAATACTATTATAATATATATTAGAAATATTACTATAATATTTTCAGAGGTATTCCACCATGAGAAGTTTTACTATGCATATTTAATAATATAAACAAGTGATCTTAGTATACTGAATAAAAAGAAACTGTCAACAGTGAAGTCTCACTTCAGAGGTGAATTTCAAATATCTACATTTCTTGATTGATTATAACTGCAATGCTGTTGATTATCATTATCTGTTTTACCAATTTTATCTAGGGGCTTAACAGTTTAAAAATTTAAATTATAGCAAAAATAAAATTTGAACATTTTTTTAATTATATATGCATATTTTTCTTTTATGTGGTTTAATTTCTGTGCTCATAAATGGATGACATTTGGATACTGTTATACATGACATGTTTGCTTGTGCTTAAATACTATGGTTGCTAAATTTTTCTTTATAAAAATCAAGCTTATGCACTTGTTTTCAAGTCAAGAATATTCAGTTTGTTTTCTAGTCAAATATATTCAATTTTAATTATCTCCAACTTAAAAAGTTTTTCTTTGGAGGGGACAAAAACAATATGGATGGGTTAGTTGAAAAAAAAGAGGTTTAAAACAACATTTTGCGAAGACCGTAGATGTTACTTATGAGCAAAATATACTCAAAAATATATTGTCGAAACTAGTAATCACAAAATTGAACCATTTTTCATGAAATGGTATCTGACTTTGTGATATCCAAAAAAATATTTCCATAATGACTTAATTAATTCAGATAATTACCCTTATTAATTCAGATAAATGATTTTCGATATTTCTATAAGTTTTTTCAGCAACCCACAAAAGACAATTTTCATTTTTCACAAAATGAATTAATTTTATTATTTGCAAAAGAGGATCTCATGTTTAACACTACTGTAAAAATTGCATGCTGCAGAAATTTATACTTCTGGCACAAAGAGAAAAATAAAATCTGAAAGGTTTCTGGTTTTAAATTACATTTAAAGGGACTTTTTTTAACATTTTGTGTGTGACCTTTATTTATTAAATATCATGTTCTTCGCACTTAAACCATAAAATTCAGTTCAAGAGCAATATCGCAAAATAATTTTAAATTCAGCATATCTTTAAAATTTCTGATACACAGTCTCATGTGCTGGAGATAAAAGTGTTCTTTCTATACAGCTCTGCCATTGCTCGCTTAGAAATCCTTGAGTTTGTTAATCAAAAATTCATTAAAGTTTAACAAAATATGAAACAGATAATAAACAAGGGACAAAGCCCCTTTGGACTAAAGAAAAACATGAATTTTTTATTCTAATGTTGTTCACAGTTTAAACTATTCTTGTCCCCATCAGTAATTAAATGTAACCAATTATCTTTTATTAAGTTTAAATCCTCCATTTTGTTTTGTTTTTTATGGGGAGGTTAAAAAAAAAAGAATATATTAAATAACTAATTTTTAAGAATTATTATTCATTTAACATGGTACTCCATTGAGACTGCATAAAAACAGAAGTCATGAAATGATTTAAACACGAATGACTCATGTGCTTCAAAAGGGCAGAAAATGTTCAGTATAGATCTCATATTTTCAATAAAAGCCGAGTCAAATATGTATGTTATTTATTGAATAACTAAACCTTAAATTTATATTACATTTACATATTCTATATGTAAACGACACAGTTATAGTATTAGTATTCTTGTATACTCATAGTATTTTAAAATAGGATTCATGCTGAGAAAGGAAGAATGGGAGGGGGGAACCATTCACACAGAAATTTGGTAATTCTATAAAAGTAATAGCCTTATAGAAATATTTTCTTTTTGTGGGGGGGGAATGCCAGAAAAAAGTACAATTCAGACTCTGGATCTTCTGATGCTAGCCAGTTACATCTTGATAACTGGCAGTGTTGCAGCCTTACAAAATAGTTGTACGTAGGTTAATGGAAAGTACATTCATGCCTCATGAATGTACTTTTTCCATAAAATCAGATACTAATCATTATGAAAAGTAGGTACCATGCGCATCTGCAGCTTTCAGATTGATCTCAAATCTCCCTGCAGAACTAATCTGGCTTAAATGGGAAAAAAATGTCGGTCACTCATTCACGCAATTTTTTTCTTGAGGGTTCAGCTCAGTGACTGGGAAATATGTTAATGAAAGATCTAGGTTATGGCAGCAAATAAGATAAAATTTTCTGTACTGGATCACTCAACATATACGCTGCCATTAACCATTCGTTCTAATTGCAGTGTCTTCTCAGAAACAAATGTCATACTGCAAATGAATCTCAAAAATTTGTCAGTGAGAAATCATAGTTACCTTTCAGGAGCAGCTTTATGTGAATCTCATGAAACACATCACATCACTTTACATAAAAGAATTTTTGGGTACTTCTTTGTTATAGTGACCCCAAACATACATGGGGATTTTAAATTTGTGCCAAGATCTTAGCTTTTGCCAAGCTAATGAAGTGCAAATGTAAAAACAAACAACAATAATACTCACGTGTTATTTCCTAAGCATATTTTTAAGAATTCTTTCCTTATTATTATTATTTTATCACATGTAATTCTTCCAGTCAACTACAGTACTTTCATACATATTAAGCTGTTTGTTACACCATTTTCATGGGCATCAACTCCTCTGCCCAAGAATACACAAATCTGAAAAAGCAGTGACAAACGATATTCTGGTACCACTAAACCAATTTCCACTACGGAAGCCCTTCTTTTTACAATATAACACGACACCTCCAAATGGTTTTTGTCAACATAAAGTTTCATGTTGTGGCCATTTTCGCATACTCATTTGTCAGGTAAAAGACCTCTTTCTTGAAAAAATGATACTGCATCCACCTCAATACTTAGTAAATTAAAGATCGTTAACATCACATTCACACAAAAAAAGCAATAAATATATTTTTAAATAAACAATGTGAATTCATAAACCTCATCAGAAAAGAATACTATAAGAACACCCGGCGAGAGCGAAATTGTAACACAGAGCTAATATATGTGGGAATCGTGCTCAACGAAGCACCAGATGTCGCTATCTATATCTACAGTAGGAACTCTACAGGTAAACACATCTTCACTTGGTTCGGGAAGACCGACAGAAGCGGTCTAACGAAATGCTTGCGAAGGAGCTACAACTAGACGCTTACTGGTCGTGTGTAGGCGATCGGACCTGGACTTATCTAAAGTGACCGCACGTAGGTGGTGATTCCTCTCCTAAACATATTTACATTTCCACTTGTGATTCTCTCCTAAACATATGTGGCATTCCGACAGATACTTCAACTTCTATTCATGAGATGGCGCCACGTGTAAAATCCAGTTCTTAATCGGAGCAGCAAAGCGACGTCATTA